CCCCCCCCCCCCCCGCCCACCCACCCACCCATGATGCGCACTCTCCGGGGGTTGTGTGGTCCGTTTCTGTTGCAGCAGGGAGGGGAGGTTGTGGCATTGCGGGAGTTCGATGAGACGCCGTCGAAGGAAGCTGTGCTGAGCAACAGGTGATTGTTCTCGACGGCTTCATCTTGCTTGGCTGGCCTGGTTTTTCAAGCGGCGGTGCTTAACTGTAGCTCGGAGGGCCAGCCAAAGCGCCCCCCCCGCACGAAACCGGCACCTCGCATGCATACATGCTGCTGCTGCACTACCATCGTGCGGAACGGAATGTGTGGTGGCATGTGCATACACAAGCTTGATCGCTCGCTGCTGGTAAATCACGGTTGTAGACGCCATCCGGCATCCATCGTAACAGGGAGACCATGGGGTGTTGTGAGATGAACCGTGGCTATACTCACCCCTCAGCCTCGTCAGGCGCATTCTACGACCAACCTTTAGTCGGTGCACCACATTTTTTGGCTTGAACACATATAACATGCACCCTTCCTTGCACATTTACTGAAAGTTGGCGTATTCGTGCACTACGTGTATTTCGCGCGGGCGTCACCGCAGCGCGGCGCTGATGGAGAGTCTCTCGCTGGACGGCTTGGAAGCGGCCGGCGAACCGGAGGCATCATCTCCCGGTTCGAGGATGCAGGGCCAGGTCTCTGTGAAGCTCACGAAGCACGACTGGATGACGACGTGACGCAGGAAAGGGATTGGGATCGGGAAAGGGGGCTTGTGGCTGGCTGCTTGGCGCGGCTGCCGGATCGTAACCCCCCAACTTGGGCACCACAGCTTTCTGCCCGACAAGATGACCAATCGAACGGCGTAATGGAGACGACTCGGCGGCAAGCGAATCGTGGTCCCCAAGTTTCAGACAGACAGACGTGGAGACAGGGCGGCCTCAAAATAGAGCAGCGGACAACAAAAGAACCATTATTTCGTGTTTATATCTGTTGTGAAAGTCGTCCTTAGCAGAGGCCACTCGTTGCAAGGGACATGTTTAGGTCTCGGGGCGGAGCGGAGGCTCTTGGCGTCGACCTCCCTCGCTCAGGGGAATGGATGCCGAATACATTCGGCAAATGATATCCCAGGCTGCTATGTGTGTCTCTCAACCTATCCCGCGAAGGCCAGGAATGCGACTCATTGTGGGCGATCGGTTTGGCATTCGTAGATCTCGTAGATCGTTCCTGTGGCGACCGACCGAGCTTCTCTGTGGTGGTTTTGTTTCTTGAGGTGCTGTTTAGAGGCGAGAGATGATGAGACTCGCCACAGCAATTGGTGAACGATTTTGTGGTCGGGTGCCGCTCGACATAGACTAGTGTCATGGCGCTCTTTGTATATACTATACTTTAGAATATACTATACTTTAGAATAGGCACGGTGTTCTTGCGTAACAGCGAAAAGTCTAGTCTAGAGAGTGTAGGGTAGCCCGTGTGTGGCTTGATACGGACGGCACCAAGGCTGTGGGCATCGCTGGACCGAGGGAAGCACCAAGCACAAGCAACGCGTACATATGCATCCGTATGAGTAGCAGGGTTCCCGCTCGGTGTTGGGGGTCCGAGAGAAGAGAATGATGCCGGCAGGAGTGGTCATCTTGAGGGACTGCAATGCCGCCGGCCTCCTCCGTAGAGTGCATGAAAGCACCCGCACTTTTGGAACGTGGCGTTTTAATGAAGGACTGGAGGGCCCCATGTCGCCGACACATGCGAAACTTGGAACCCGATCCTATACTACGTCACCTGGACGTAGTGGTAGCTGATAGGGCCCACCCCCAGGATGGCACGAAATAGGAGGATTTATGCTCTTGGTGGCGCGTACGCGTGCACTATGGTGTAGGTTCTGCAAAGCGCGCGTAAACGCGGGCTTCGTGTGACATGTGCTGGCGGCAGCGGCCTTCCGAGGCAAATAATATGAAGGGCCGAGCAGCGAGGTGCCGTGCCGAGTGAGAGCTACGGGCAAGAAAATAGGCACATGCATGCGTCCATGCCCACAGCTGTGTCCCGAGAAAGGAACCACCACGTGGTTCATAGGGAGCGACGTGCACTAGGGGATAGTGGGCGCAGTTGCGGTTGAGTGCGGGTAGATACCACGTCGCCTTGGGTCGTCTCACATCATAAAAAAAAGACGATTTTTTTCAGTCGCAACAGAAACTATCAACTTGAAACCCCCCTCAAAGGGGTCTCCAGCAATTACAGGCATAGCATCACACCGGTCGACCGAGTGAGTCACGTTTGGACCCGCTCGCAAAGCACCTAGATATTATCAACCAGAGAGCAAGCATACCTGCGGTTAATATCTTGTTTTTACCACCGCCGTGTGCCGGCCCCGCGTAACTAAACGCTACATTTCGGGATACCCCAATCCGGGAAGACGTAAACCTTACGAAACGCCCGAAATGCATGCAAGCGCACAAAAACAAACAAGTAACCAAGTTGGCTCGTTGTCAAGCCCCGCCTCTGAACAGCTGCGAACGCGCGCGGCTCTTGGCACACGCGGATACATAGGTCGTTGCCGGTAAAGTGGAGCGGGAGAGGTGCGGTTTCACCGCGGACACGTCTGTTGTATCCACTTCTTCCGGGATACAAAGCTCTTCACTTGGCTGGGCAAAGAGAGACAACGAGCACCATAACTGTTGTGCCAACTCCGTCTAACTCCTAGCCCACGCACCCCCCAACCTAACTCTAGTGTACACATATATCCGGTCGAACTGATGGGGCTTGAGATCACCAAAAATATCGGTACAGAAGGACGCCAGCGCTGCATACGCGTCGTGGGTAATCACGCCTCCTGGGGCTGCAAGCTTGGTGTCCTCAAGCAGCCACGGAGCTACATAACGAGGAACACGTGTCTGTAATATTCTGATGTTCCTGAAAAAAGCGGGGCCGTGGCCGCGCTGCACCACCAGGTTCAGTAAGTAGCACCACCAGGTTCAGTATGTAGCACCAAACACCTTNAGTCGTGCATGCCGTAGTCGTTAGACCATTGACCTCGCATCCCTACAAAGCCGGGACGGAGCACGCCGGGTTCTCACCGGACCAGGCTCTCACATCACCAAGCGCGAAGCGCCGTGAGGCATTCGGCGAGTCGCATGAAGGGTGGGCTGCATCCTGCTAATCTCGAGGGGTGGGAAGAAAAAGACATTCATCTACAAAAAGAAGAACCTCAACAAAAACCGTTTCACAAGAGTCTTAAAAAACAATCTCATTGATCACATAGAACACCGATACCCATCCAAGACCTTCTTCTCCCAAACTTTGTCCAGAACGAAACGCAACTAATCGATTTAACACACCGGACGGCATGAGCATAGCCGCGAAACCTCGTCGTCAACCACACATCGCCCCCCGGTAAATATTGCTAATCTATCTCATCGCGGTGCCAAATTCGAGGGGCCCGGTGCTCCGCCCCCCTCCCCCCCTCTGCTATCCGCCACCGCGGGCCCCTCTCCCCCCGCCCATCTCCGTCGACGTTCGGTCTCCTCTCGAGACCCGGACTGAGCGGCTGCCGCCGAAGCCGAACCGGCTGCGGCTGCGGCTGCAGCTGCGGTGGCGGCTGCGGCAGCGGCGTCTCCCCTACCCATGATGCCCCTCCTGTCCCTATCGCCTCTTGTTGCCGCTCGCAACGGCGACCCTGGCCTGCCACTGCTCCTGCTGTCGTTCCTAAAGGTTTTGACGTTGACGTTGCCGGTTGGGGAGTCCGGTCGCGGTGGAGTGTCCTTCGGTTTCGACCACGGGAGGGGGAGAAAGGGCCCCGCGCTGTGCAAGGGGGGGGGGGGGCGGGGG